TTCCTGGCCAGCTGGTTGGGCCAAACAGATGAGCTTCAGGTTTGGTGGCAGATCCTGTGCCAAGAAGTTAAGTGGGAAGTGACAGAGTGACTTCCACAAACTTACTCACACTTGTAAACATCTTCACAACATACACCAAACATAATAATAATAATGGTGATGATGACATCGCTACAATAGTCACTAAAGTAGGGTTCCAAACGAGATGAATGTAGAAGACTGTTGACCTACAAGTTTCAAAAACTATCAAACACATCCAATAACTTTCCTCTCACCAAAAATATGACAGTATAAGGTCGATTTTAGACTATGCATAAGCTAGTTCACTACTGTTTATGCATTCTGTACCATACACGGCTTGTGAGTATTGTAGAACCTAAGTAGATCTGTGTTGTAGGTGCACAGAATCTAGCTGTTTGAAGTCACTGTGGCAAGAGAAAGAGATCCCTCATCATGGCCTGTTGAGATTAGGTTTGGAAATTGCATTCTGACACCTGTTTGGAAGCTGACTGAGCAAAGAAAGAATAGAACTGAAAAACAATCACGGGGTCATTTAAGTACCTCCAAGTGGAAAATAGCAGCCTGAGCTAGCTAATTGATTTTTCAATTGTATAAAACTCTTGAGATAAATTGAAAGTAAGAATACTTTAAGACCTGAGTGGTAATAGTACATGCAGATAATACCAACTCATGGGATCTGGAAGATGAGAGTCCAATATCAGTTTTGGCTACATAGCAACTTTAAGGCTAGACTAAACCCTGTGTGAGATCCTGTCATGAAAAATCATATGTTTTATGGCTGGGGCTGTGCCTCAGTGATAGAAGTGTCAGAGTGCTGGCTTAACATGCCCAAAGCCATGAAGCCAATCACCACCACTCTCTTCCAAAATGAAATTTTTTTCTATTTTTATTGAGCTCTACATTTTTCTCTTTTCCCCTCCCTACCTCTCTCATCCCATTCAACCCTCTCCCAAGATCCCCATGCTCCCAATTTACTCAGGACATCTTGTCTTTTTCTACTTCCCATGTAGATTAGATCTATGTATGTCTCTCTTAGGGTCCTCATTGTTGTCTAGGTTCTCTGGGATTGTGATTTGTGGGCAGGTTTTCTTTGCTTTATGTTTAAAAGCCACTTATGAGTGAGTACATGTGATAATTGTCTTTCTGGGTCTGGGTTACCTCGCTCAAAATGGTGCTTTCTAGCTCCATCCATTTGCCTGCAAAATTCAAGATGTCGTTTTTTTTTGTTTTGTTTTGTTTTGCTTTGTTTTGTTTTTCTGCTGTGTGTACTCCATTATGTAAATGTACCACATTTTCTTTATCCATTCTTCGGTCAAAAGGCATTTAGGTTGTTTCCAGGTTCTGGCTAGGACAAACAACTGGTATGAACATAGCTGAGCACATGTCTTTGTGGCACAACTGAGCATTCTTTGGATATATACTCAAAAGTGGTATTATTGGGTCTTGAGGAAAATTGTTTCCTAATTTTCTGAGAAATCACCACACTGACATCCAAAGGGGCTGTACCAGCTTGTATTCCTACCAGCAATGCTGGAGTGTTCCCTTTTCCCCACAACCTCTCCAGCATAAGTTGTCATCAGTGTTTTTTATTTTGATCATTCTTACAGGTGTAAGATGGAATCTCAGAGTTGTTTTGATTGCATTTCTCTGATGACTAAAGATGTTGAACATTTCCTTAAGTGTCTTTCAGCCATTTTAGATTGCTCTGTTGAGAGTTCTCTATTTAGGTCTGTACTCCATTTTTTCATTGGATTATTTGTTCTTTTGATGACCAATTTCTTGAGTTCTTTGTATATTTTGGAGATCAGACCTCTGTCTGATGTGGGGTTGGTGAAGATCTTTTCCCATTCTGTAGGCTGTCTTTCTTTTTCTTGTTGACCATGTCCGTTGTTTTACTGAAGGTTTTCACTTTCAGGAGGTACTATTTATTAATTGTTTCTCTCAGTTTTTGTGCTGCTGGGTTTATATTTAGGAAGTGGTCTCCTGTGCCAATGCTTTCAAGTGTATTTCCCACTTTCTCTTCTGTAAGGTTCAGTGTGGCTGGCTTTATGTTGAGGTCTTTGATCCATTTGGACCTACCTGAGTTTTGTGCATGGTGATAGATATGGGTCGATTTTCATTCTTCTACATGTTGATATCCAGTTATGCCAGAACCATTTGTTAAATATGCTTTTTTTCCATTTGATATTTTTTGTTACTTTGTCAAAAATCACGTGTTCGAAGGTGTGTGGATTAATATCCGGGTCCTCAATTCAGTTCCATTGGTCCTCTGGTCTGTTCCTATGCCATTACCAGGCTGTTTTCAGTACTGTAGCTCTGTAATAGAGTTTGAAGTCAGGGATTGTGATGCCTCCAGAGTTCTTTTATTGTACAGGATTGTTTTGGTTATCCTGGGATTCCAGAAGTAATATTTTAAATCACAAAGTGTATCCCACTTTCTTAAGGTCACATGGTCTTATGTTCAGGGAGATATAAAAGCCAAACCATGCACTATCCAACTCTGGAAAAGTAAACTTTCAGTGGCAGGGGCTCTCAGTCCTACAGATGCTTTAGTTGGCTTTCCAGCTATAGCAACATCTTCTAAGAAAAGTGGTTGCATAAGACATTGATACCACCAGTTCACAAATCCGGAAACTTTGTGAGCAGGATACAGGTGGCTTTATTTGGAGCCTAGCTCAGGAAAGAAGCTGACCCCAGATCACAAAGGGCTAGGAATGCTGCACTAGCTTATTAATCCATGCCTTGCCCTAAAGTTACTTCAGATCCTGTGCTTTTCAATAAATACATTGGTATGGGCATGGGCTGAGTCTTGCCAAACCCTAGATCTGGATCATAGTGAATGGAAAAAACAGAAGAGCCTATTTCCAAGAAGGGTACCCTGTCCTCCCTTAGGACTGGAGGGGGGGGGATGAGAAAGGGGGAAGCAGGAGGGAAGTGGGAAGAAGTGAAAATTTTGAATGGTATTATTTATAAAGCAGTAAAAAAAATTTAAAAAGACTTGCTTGGTAGTTTCACGTTGTTACCACAGGAGGGCGGTGTGAAGCCATCACATCTCAGAAGATAAGCTCCCGTTTAGCTCAAAGTTTCAATCAGATTTTCCATGAATTTTACAAATCACTGCCTTTGGGTGTTGTTCTGTGTTGTCCAAATGCATATATAGAAATAATAACAGTACTTTTCAAGTTTTCACTATGCCTTGCTGTTCTCCAGGTCGAATTCAAATGTGTTCTCTAAGTTTGCAACTACACAGGAGCCACTGACATTCATTCCTTTTACACAATTCAGCCCGTGATGCAGTCTAACCCCATACCCTCTGTTCTACAGGTAAGAAAAATAAACCCCAAGAGGGGCCCTGGCCAGAATGAATGCAGTTGTGCAATAAAAATGACTAAATGGCACCATTAGCAGTCAAGGGACCACCTTGGTCCAGATTTTGTCTTTGCTATTAGATGGGCAGGGGAGAGCTTAGGAAAATAATTTTGACCTCATGCCTCAATTTGCCTGTTTCACCTTCTTCATACCAAATTCATTTCTAAAGTTTATTTTGAAACCTTCCAATGGCTGCCAGCAATGAATAAAAACCACATGTCTCAGATAGCATCATTGGAATTCTAAAAGATAAATTTTCATAGTTAGAAATCGTGCTGGTGCTACTGGGACTACAACGGACAATTTTGCTACTGCAAACTTTTCTATTTTTTTCTTACGAAGTCTAATCTTTTCAAAGCTTTGATATAGTCTTTCAGATTTTTGTTTTTTTGTACGTGCTTCTTAGAGAGGGATTTTTTTTTTTTTTTAATCTATGGGCTTAACCAGCAAAAATAGCTCTTGTGCATTTACTGCGTCTAATCACTGTCAAGTTGGGAGCGTAGGCCCCAGCCCCTCGCATCTATTCCAGCTCCAAGGCCTGGTCCGGATTCCAAATCCCAGCAGGCCAGGTCCTGATCCCTCCCTGGGGGTGGGGCCAGGACCACTTTTCCCCCAGTGTATTTTAGTGATCCCCCAAAAAGGAACACGTGTTCTCCCTTTCTCCCTGGGTTGAGGGGAGGGGTTGCGTTTCTGCGGCTTCCCGGTTTCCCCCTTGGGGCCACCCGAGAGCGCAGATCTCCCATTAAACCTGGATATTTCTTAATTTGGCTTGTTTTGATTTGGCTTGATTGGGAATTTTGCATCAGCAGGGAGCTATTATTAGGAAATATTCCTAACAATCACTAGCAATATCATCATGACCCAAGCCAACTGACAGCTTCCATGGGGAGCTCAGTTCCTAGTGGGGATGAGAGAAAGACGATCCGGGATCTGGACGTGGGCTTCACTAAGTGAAGCTGAAAAGGGAAGGGAAGGTTTGTACAGGTGACTGGAAAAACCCTATTGAGAAGGTTTCTGAGCAAAGCCCCTAAGGAGAACATAGACTAAACCATGCAGCCGTCCAGCTCTCCAGATGGAGAGGGGACTATGAGGCAGCCATTTGCCTGCTGCTTTCACTGAGGGCGAGTGAGACCAGGCGAATGAACAAAAAAGAGTAGTGCACAAGGTCTGGGGGATTCCAAAGGACGGATTACAGGGGCCACCCAGGACGCGGAGAAAATTTTAAGTGAGCTGAGAAGCCAGTAGACAGCTGTTTGAGAAGCTGCCTGATACGATCTGGTTTTGTTTGCAATGTGCTGCTCCCGCAAGAAGTGCTTGTCCGCTCACCGCACAAGCACAGGGGAGAAAAGAGGTGAGGGCATTAGCAGTGGAGATGGTGAGAAGGGACTGGAAGACGGAGATGCATTTGGAGGGTAGATCCAGCTAGATGTTCTAATTTTCATTTGAAGTATAAGAATTACAAAAGCACACATAAGTAGTCTTGAGCTGGGCAGTCGTGACCCAGCCACAGAGGAAGCAAGATGTGACTGCCTCGCCAAAAAAGGCATCCAAGAACTACAATTCCCAGAAGGCCTCAGTGCGAGCTCCCGGACGGTTGCAGGCTCCTTTTGCGCAGTGCTGGTCCGAGCTGGGCGGGGTTCTCCTTCGACTGCATTCTCGGTGTTCCCTAGCAAGGCAGTGATTGTTCCCGGGAACAGAGGCGGGGATGTGGCCACCCAGGCCTGGTATGGCTGGGTAAGAAAGCGACTGAGCAAGTTTCCGGTTTTCTGTGTCTGGCTAGAAACATGCCTGACCCAACCTCATTTTAAAAGTGGTGAGCTGCTGTTCATTAGAGGTGGAACCGCATTACTTACAGACTGCCCCCTCTGAGTACCAGACTGTTTCACCCTGAACACAGTTACAGCTCGAGAGAGCATCTGGCTGCCCTTCCTGAAGACAGAGCTGCACTGTGATGAGAAGACCATCATCATAGGCCAGAGTTCCGGGGCTATCGCAGCAGCAATGAGGTATGCAGAGACACAGGAGTGGAAGGCTTGCCTGGCCCTGTCTCAGAAAAGAAACAGCAAGTAGACTCAGGTATAACGAAGTAACTTTTGCAAGGTGTGACCCACTCCTGACATCCTAGTTCTTGGGAAGCTGCAGAAGGTAGATCTGGAATTTGAGGGCTACTTAAGCCAGATATTTAGTAAAACCCTGTCAAAGAAAGAAAGAAAGAAAGAGAAAGAAAGAAAGGAAGAAAGAAAGAAAGAAAACCTAAACAAATTTTTATGAACCGTATGAGAGACACCTTTTCTTTTTGAAGTAAAATTTTCTCTTACTGGGTTAAGAAAACATGATTAAAGTCCAGAATGCTCTTAGAATTCAAAACTCTAGCTGCTGCTTCAATCTGGCTCAAGATAGCAAACTCAAATTTGGGTTTTCATCACTCAGATCCCTGACCCCATCCCAGGTCCTTCTGTCAAGTTGAGACCACCTGTATACCAACTTCAGGAAGACTCACAGGATCAGGGCATTGGGAGTGCTACAGTACAGAAATGTGACAAGTGTTTGTCTTTTTTCTAAGCTGGGGACTGTATAGATCTATATCTATGTATGTGTCTATGTATCTATGTATCTATGTATCTATCTATCTATCTATCTATCTATCTATCTATCTATCTATGTCTTTATAATCCCTACATGAATTACGGCAGCTGACAACTCTGTAATTGAAAGATTGGGAAAAGCTACAGGACAAAGATCAAGTTATCCACTTGTGAATTTAGTCAAAAACATTTTCGATTCTCTACAAAATACAGTCTGTGGTGGCTCATGCCTTTAATCCCAGCACTTGGCAGGCAGAGGCAGGTGGATCTCTGTGAGTTCAAGACCTGGTCTACAGAGCAAGTTCTAGGACAGGACTACACAGAGAAATTTTGTCTCAAAAAAAAGAAAAGAAAGAAAAGAAGGAAGGTAGGATGGAAGAATGGAAGGGCCTAAGATGACCAAAATGAACGTAATGCTAAAGGGTGGGAAACAAGGGAGAAATTTGTACTGTTAAGTTTTAAGTATCCTCCAAAAGAATTCAAGTTCAACTCTGTAAAGAATTCAACCTCTTAAGTTCTAGAGATGATACAAGCATTCCAAGATTTTCTTATACTTTCACTAAAAAAGAACCTTTTTTAAAATAATGTACTTTATATTAACATATATTGGATTACAAAATGGTTTCATTATGACATTTTTACTCATGTTTATAATGTATTTTGGTCATATGTAAAAAAAAATAAAACTTTTATTTCCCAGGGGGAAAAAGAAGTCTTAGGCTGAGAGCCAAAAGATTCTCATCCCTGAAAATAAAACCTGGGAGAGGAACAGACTCGGTTGTTAACTAACCAAGTTGTCATAAGAACTTCTTATTGTCCAGGCCAGAAAATTCCTAACTTGATAATGAAAATCACAAATAAAGAAAATATCCAGGAAACTTGGCCTGGTGATGCATAGCTGTAATTCCAGCACTTAAGAGGCTGAGACAAGAGAATAGCCATAAGTCTGAAGTTGGCCTGTTCTCTACAGCAAGTTCCAGGCTAGTCAGGGCTACATAACAAGACTCTGTCTCAAAAATAAACAAATAAAAGAATTCCCAGAAAAACTAAAACAAACAAAAGTTGTGGTGTGAGTCAGCGAACATTAATTTTCACTTACAAAAATAACTACTCTTCTGTAATTTCAGAAATACCAATAGTAACAGCAATAAAACCAATGGAAAGCCCACATAGCCTCAATCATAGATAAGCAGGTAGATAGGTAGATAGATAAGTAGGCAGACAGATTGATTGATAGGTAGATGGCAGACAGATCAAAGATAAATGTAGGTAGAAACAGGTGAAAGACTCCCGTGGGCGTCTTCCTTCGGGAGAGACCCCGTGCCCAAAGATCAGTCGAAAACACGCAGCCGGATGCAAACAGCAAGAGGTTTATTGGATACGCAGGTACCTGGGGCGACAAAGTCTCTCGAAGGACTTGCACCCTGCAGGTTGGGGGTGAGGGGTTCTTATAGAAGAGCAAAAAGAGAGGTTTACAGAAGCAAGATGCAGGGTGGTAAATTTTTAACCTAAATAACAATGAGGGGACTACTCAGCGGTTTACTGTTCCTCCTATCCTGCCCCCCCTTTCCTGGCTGGCGACCAGATGTCTGATTGCACAGCCCCTGACTCGTGAGAGCCCCGCTTTATACGTGACTCAGGCCTCGCAATCCTCTCTTTCTTTGTTTCTATGGCCAGTCCATAAATCTCCTGTCTTGCAGCCAGATAAGGCTGTCCTTGCTCTAACCTCAGGTATCTTTGCTCAGCATTTCGGAGGCCCTGAATTAAGCTTGTTATTTGTTCAGCATTCCGGAGGCCCTGAGCTGAGCTTGTTACTGTGAATCCTTTGCAAAACAGTATAACTGTGGCTAAAACGAGTTGGGGTCCTTCACAGGAAGAGAAAGAAATGCCAGCGGCTGTCCTTTTCCGAGGTGCTGGCTTCAGTACAGATGCAAAGGTGCATGCAGGAAGCAGTAGAGCCCAGCACACACCTGCTAACCTAGCCCCTTTCCCACTCTGCTAAGCTATCCCCTCCCTCACCCAAAGCAGAAGTTTAGAGTAGAAAATTCCTACCAGCCAAGCTTGCCTGCAAGGTCATGCATCAGATAAACTTTATAATAAACTGGATGGAAGATGCAGAGATGAAGTCACCAATGGTTTTGGTCAGGGTCAGAGAGGAAGGTAGGGATAAATGACTTGAGATTGAGCCTTCCCATTAGTCAAGCAATGAGGAAACGAGGAAGCTCCGTGAGTCTGGGGCTATAAAGATTGCTCTCTGCAATCCGTGCCCTGCTATCTTGGGCCGACACTGGGCTTTACAAAGTCATAAAACAGAGTGTCTGGCTTTCACTACACTGAGTCTCTGGAACTCTTATTATGAAGGGAGGATCTTTGTTTTCCACAATTTCTGGGAAAGGGAACATTTAAAACCAGTGAATAGAAACCAATTAGATAGATAACAGGGAGGGTGGTGAAGTTTTCTCTCCATCTACTTCTTACAGCAAGAGTATCAGATGGTCAAAAACAATATAAAAGTGGATCCAGGAAATAAGTCTTCAATGTGGGAGAATTGCACTGTACTTTTGAAATGGGAATACTATGTCTAAGCATGGCACAAGGTTTTGAAGCCCTGCTGAAGAGTGACTGAGAATTTTGACATTATACACACACACACCACACACACATACACACCGCACACACCCCACACACATACCACACACACCACATATACCACACACACACACCACACACACATACACACCATACACACACCACACATACACACACCACACATACACACACTGCACACACACATACACCACGTACACCATGCACACACTTCTTTGCAATAACAATATTGCTTGCAAAATGACCAGGAGAATTGTTTAAGAAATATTAACAACATATAATAACTGATAAAGGTCTAGTTCGTTTGAAATGTCAACATCAATATGTATTTCTGCCTTGTTGACACACCATGATCAAGGTAACTTAGAAAATATGTATTTGTCTTGAAGTTTCAGTGACTGGTCCATACCCAGCATGGCAGGGAGCATGGCACAGATGGGCAAGCTTGGCGCTGGAACAGTAGCTGCGAGCCTACATCCTGATACACATACACGAGGAGACTCAGAGAAAAGCTAACTGAAGTCATCATGGGCTTTTGAAACTTCAAGCCCACTGACAGTGACACACCTTCTTCAATGTCACTACCTCTTCTAATTCTGCCCCAAAAGTTCCACTAAACATCAGCTACATGAGCCTTAGGAGGCCATTCTCCTGCAAACCGTCATATAGTTCAGATCAACGAGAAAAGAATCTGCTACCCAGAAGAAGACAACCGGAAAGAAGATTTGGTTTTTTTAATCAATAATAAATAAATGCAAGTAGCTTTTTAAAAAGAGTGGCAACACAGTAGAGTTTTAAAATAGCACAATTAAAGAGATAACAAAAATTAGCGACAATGCAATCACTTTTCTCTTCTTCATTTAAGAAATAGTCAAAAGTTCTGAACTTCATTGTATATGGTGTCAGGGACTCTAGCCTGGGGATCAAGTTATATTTATCAATATTTAACTATATAGGCTCTTTCACCTCGTTGTTCTACTTTCATAAATTTGTCCTAAAGATGTAAATAAGAATTTTAAAACAAATTTTAGATACAAACACTGTTGTAATTTATATCTATAATATTTTCCCCAAACTCATTCCTCTATTGAAAACTTTATGCCCAACTGATATCACTATTAGAAGGTAGTGGATTCTTTGGAAGGTTCAGCCTTGTTGAAGGAGGAACTGGGAACAAAGTCTTTGAAAGTTATATCCCACCTCCCTCCTGGATGTTTTATCTCTCTGCTTTCTCAACAAAACAAAGGGAGCATCCTCCTCCAGTACATATTCCTGCTACCACATTATCCTCATCAACAGGGCCCCAGGGCAATGGAGTCAGATTACTGCACCAAAACCTCAGAAACCATGAAACAGCATGAGTCTTCCCACTTTTAAGTTACCACCGCTATTTAATCACAGCCATACTACACTAAATAGCACAGAAAATTGTTACTAAGAAATGAGGCTGTTGCTATGTCCATACCCACCATGTGATTCTGAAATCTTTAGCCCTGAACTGTAGAAGGAGTTTGGGAAAGTTTAAAAACTCAGAATGCTGTAAGTGGTGATTCTTGTAGGAACTCAGGAAGCCAGGCTACTGAAGAGAATGTGGATAGTAAAAACTGTGCTCAAGAGGTTCCAAGTAGAAAGGAAGACTACTGGATGTAGAGAATGTGTCTTCATATTTCCCATGCTCTGAGAGTTACATGAGGCTGCGTTACAGATGGTGGATTTATGGATTAGTTGGAGGAGTATGTCAAGGCAGTACATCACTCATGCTTGAGCATGCGGATTTCTAGATGATTTTAGCCGTATTTACAGCTTACTATGGAGAAAAGCTACTCATAAACTCAGGGTAGAACAAGGAGGCTGTGGTAGCTGAAGAGATTGGTGCCGTTTTAAAGAAGCTACACCCTTTTCCCAGAGATAGTAGGAAAGATGCCTCGAGGTCACACCAGGATTAGCAAAAACCTATTCTTCCCCACAGGATCAAGGATATAAAGATAGACTTTTGAGAAATTGTGTTTGGAAAATGAACACTGGGCAGCATACAATGCGGAGTCACCTTGCTTGTACAGGGATATCAAAGGATATGATTACCAGGGATTCACTTCCTTATGTTTGCTTGCCCAAGACCTCGAAAACTGCTGTAGCACACTCCAAGAACCTAACGTTTGTTCCCACTACACTGACACCCCTCCACCATGTCTCCTATGTGTTATTACTTTTGCAAGTTGGCAAAATGCAAGAACTGTCAGAACATGGAGGCTTCGGCTGAATCTTCAAAGACTGGAAGATGTGGGGGGCAGTGTCACTGAGAGCAAGCAAGCAGGCCCCCAGGAGGCACTGCATGGAGCTGAATTAGTGTAGCCAAAGCTACAAAGGAGATTCAAGAAAGCTGAGTATGCCAGGAATGTGGAACCCCTGCCAAGGAAAGCTGAAGGCACTAAGGAAAGCCCAGCCTAGACAGTGGCAGTGGGGCCTGCAGTGGGCAAGGCCAGAGATGTTGGGCGTCCCAAACCCCTCGAAGCTTATAGAAAGTCATTCTGTGGGTAAGATGTGAGACATGGAGATAAAGGTCTAATTCACATCATGCTGGCTTGGGGTGTTGCTTTGGCCTATTGTCTCCTCTTTTCATTTGCAAGGAGAGTGTTTAATTTATCTCATTTCTTGGAAGTGTGTGGGTCACTTTTAATTTGTATGGGCTCATAGCTCAGTTTGCCTTGAGTGTCAACAGAAACCTTAGACCTGAACCTGCGAGTGATACTGAACATGCTCAGACTATGGAAAGTCTTGGAGATACACTGAAAGCATTTTGTACTTAGAAGTTGCTATGCAGATCATGAGCCTTTAGGGGCTTCCTACTGAAATGTGTTACTTGGCTCTTAACTGATCCCTGGACTGCTCACTTTGCACGCAACAAAGCCTGTAGGGAGTGATTTTCTTGTGCGTCATCATCTGCCCTGCTCTGCAGTGAAAGATTACAGCTTGGTACTTTACTGAGTGCCCGGGAAGGCTTCGTTATACAAGGGAGCTATTGCTCTCCTTAATGGCCACCAAAAGCAAGCTGCTTTACTCCATGATGTAGGTGCAGTAACCACTATGATACTATGCCTTATTTTAGTTCCAGAGCAAAAATGGAAAGTAACAGTTAACAGCTAACTATACTTTCAGAGGCTCTGAGCCAAAATAAGTTTTCTCTGACTTGAAGCTGCCCATCTCCTGAACTTTATTCCAATGACATGGAGCAGGCTAGCTTACCTACTCTGCCTTCTCCAGGTGAATATACTACATTTCCCTTGTTCCTTCTCCTTCCTTTGGAGTCAACTAGCATCTCTGGAACCTTAACATTCAAATAAGAAATGCACTTCCAGCTCAGAAAGACTTGTCTTGACCACCAAACCTCTAGAGGTCACCAGTAGCATTGGTTTGCCAAATCTTGCTTTATTTTTCTCAGTAATACTTGGGGTTATTTATTTTTTTCAGGTCTCATTTATTGGTTTATCATGAGCTGCCTCCAACTTGGACATACATACATAAGGGTAAGATAACCTTACCCTTAGTAAGGCCTCAATAAATGTCTGTGACAGAGGAAGAAAACATCCTTATCAGCAACGATAAACCCGTTTATGGTCTTGCCACTTACACAGAACTAGGGCAAAGTTAAACTGGCTTACACACTGGGTCACAGTGACTCTCCATGCAGTACAGTAAACGTTGCCGTAGCAATCCCTTTATTGAGTTGAATTATTAAGTTCTTTAATTTCTTACCTTTATTTATACAAACACTGAGGTAAAATGCATCAACACTAGCTGTTATTCTTCCCAGTAACCTGGTTCCTATATTCTCCATTCCTTTTCTATAGCTCTTATCAGCTGTAAGCTGGGATGTGTGCATAACAATATATGTAGTTACATGTAAGTATACATGTGTATACATATATGTAAGTTTGCATATATGTGTGTGTTTCATATATTAGTCTACATATATAACATTCTGCATGTATTTACTTGGATATAAAATATATAGATACACTTTTGACCATTTAGTCGCTTCATGTATATCTTAACAGCATCCCAGCTTTATTTTGGAGAAGGTACATGCTTTCCATTGTGTAACTTCTTAATAGGACTATAAACACATCTGTGATGGGTTCTTCTAACTGTCAACATAACAGAATTTAGGATTCCCCAGGAAAAGAATTTCAACAAAAGGATGTCTGAATTAATTTGACTTAGGGGATGTCTTTGAGAGATGATCTTGATTATGCTAATTTCAGAGGGAAGAACTGGTGCTCTGGGAAGCACCATTCCCTAGGAAGGAGACTGAATGATGAAAGTGTGGAAAACACAGGCAGATACATTGTTATCTGCGGATGCAATGTGGCCAGTTGTTTCAAGTTTCTGCTACTTTGACTTTCCAAACTGATTGCCCAAACCCTGGAGTTGTGAGAAATGGTAAGCCATTTCTTTCTTATTCTTTCCATTCACTAGAGGCTCCCACTCTTAGTGTAGATCCAGGGCTCCACTAGCACTTTCATTCTTGTCTCTTCAAGCATATTCTTTGTCTCACCAAAACCTATTCATAGGTGTGCCTCTTCTCAGCACACCTCACACTTCCTAGGGACCTACCCTCTGGGTGGAGACAGAATCTCCTTAGCTCTTTCATGCAACCAAGCAAAAATGAAACAGAGAGATGCTGGAGTTAAATAATGACAGGAATCAAAGGGATCTAGCAGACATTTGCACAACATTCAACATTTCACCCAAGCACAAAATAACATGCTTTCTTTTCAGCAGCTCATGAATACTCTAAAAAATTTACCACACATTTGGACACAAACAAAACTCAATACAAAAAGTGAAATAGCAGACTACATTCTAACTGATAACTGTGGCTTAGACCTGTATATGAACAACAACAGGAATAACAAAGCATATAAACTCATGAAAATTGAACAACTCACTACTAAATGAAAAATAACTTCATCTGGACATCAAGGAAGAATTTTTAAAACATTTAAGAATTGCATGATGATGAAAACAGAACATATGAAAACCTACAGTGTACAATGAAGGCAGTTTTAAGAGGCAAGTTCATAGCACTAAGTACCTACATTAAAAAAGTTAGAGAGATCTTATGTTACAAATTTAACAGTGCACCTATTAGCTCTAGGACAAAATGAAGACATAACAGCCATGGTTCCTATGACCCCCTGGGGTCTGTCGTGATGTCCTTAGTCTATATTGCAACAGGGAGTCATAGGAACCATACATTTTGAAATCTAAGAATTATGCTATGTAGGTCCTGACCCTCCCTGTCCCTTGGATGACTGGCCCTGCCCTTTGTTGGAGATCTGGCTCCATCCCCATGGGAAAACTGGATTCCATGCTCAAGAGAGATGGCCCTACCCCACACCACAGGCATGGAAGAGTTGGCCACTATGGCATGGACCTAGGAGAACTGGTTCCACATCTCAATTGAGGAAGGTAATCCCAATGTCCCAGACCAAACAGCTCAGTTATAACCCATACCCATATTCTGGGACTTTGATTGACCCACCATAACATCTACCATGTCTATGTCCTGCTAGAGTGTATGAAGGGACTGTTTCTACAGAATGATATTCCACAGAATCTCTATGACTTGGGCAATAGCAGGATGTCCAACAGCAGTTTTGGTGAGGAACCAGTAAGGATGGTGTGCTGAGGGCTCATTGCAATGACCATTTGTGGGTGGGGCTGATTGGATAAAAGGGTATACTATGTGGCACACTACAGACCCTAATACCACTAGAATGAATGAGAAGGTGTTGGCAAGATCAAGGACTGAGGTGGGCATTTTTGCATATCATGTTTTGTTTTTAATTGTTTTGGTGGAGGGTTCTTTGTGGGAAATGCTGCAGGGGTAAGGGAAGGTTATGAAGGGACTAAGAGGTGAACAGGACTGGGTGGATAATGTGAAATTCCCAAAGATTCAATAAAGAACTATGTTTAAAAAACTGTACTCTACCAAACTGAAAAC